AGTGAGTCACCACAGCAACTTCCAGACCAGTCCCCTTTGGCTGGGGAAATAAAATCACATCTGTATTTCCTCAAATCTCATTTGAACAATTTAGCATTTCCTTTCATTACAAATGCAGACCACAAACCACCCAAGTACTTGTGACTTTGCCACCTATAGAAATCACAGCTAGATTCCTATCACACGGCAGTTGTTGAAGACAGCTTGAAATATCATTGACCCTCATCACTCTTTCAAAGGTACCATAATCCTTAGGCTTGCTGCAAAATCTTGTTATTTAACGTGTTAATAAAGAAACACAAATGCTACTGCATCACAATTTTTTAAACGTTTTGGTAACTGAATGTCGATATAACTGGCTTCCTTTGTAATCCTAAGTGTTTGATTTTATGCCCCTAAAAATGATATTCTAAGAGGTATCGATGGCGTCACCAGATTTACAAAGGAGTCCTTGGCACAAAAGGGGTTTAGGCCCCCTGAAACTAGTGCCCCTTCCATCTGCTGTCCATGCAGAAAACCCGGTGATCTTTTTTAAAAGTAAGTAAGATGAAGACATGGCCATTTAAACCTGAAACAAGCCCCAGCTCCTGACTGACCTGGCTCTGCAGGATCTGGTTTAAGCTGGCTCAAGGCTCCTACCCGGTTGGGGGCTCTCCCATCCCTCTAGCCCTAGCTCACTCTGCACCCATTACGCAGGCAGCCTTCCATTTCTTTGAAATCTCCAAGCAGATTCCCAACTCGGGGGGCTTCAAACTTGCTGTCTCCTCTGCCTGGAATGCCTGCTCTTAAAGCAGCAGCTTCGTGCTCAGGCTTCAGTGATGAACCAGGACATCACCTCCACAGAGAAGTCTTCCTCGCTACTGTCTGCCAAGCAGCACCCCTCCCCTCCCCTATCCTGCCCCGTCCCCAGGTATTTCCTGTTTACTTCCTTCAGAGCACTTGCCACAACATAATTATATTGACTTCTGTTCACTACTAAGTCCTGGCATCTAGCAAGGGGCCTGGCACATGTAAAAACCTGACATTCATGGAATGAAGGAATAAACGACAGAAGTAAGTGAAAAGGAAGCTATCATTCATCCATTTCACAAGTGAGGAAATTGAGGCTCCGACATGTTAAATTATTTGTCCAAGGTCATCCAGCGGCAAAGTTATTATTTTAACTGTGGTCCCTTTATCCCTCCACCATTTCTTTCTAAATTCCTTTCCCTGCTACATTTTCACCCATCTGGAAAGCAGAATGGACCCAATATGTTTTTATAGTGTGATTTCATAGGGCTTCAGTGCCCCATTGCTCAAGGATATCTGCTTAACAAACCATCAAAACTACTTCCCTTGAGTATTTCCAGGAGAGCCAAATTGAACAAAAATATCTTACCTGGTTAGAGTGCCTCTTCCTGTCGCTGTCTCTCTACGTACATTGACACACGTGTTTTCTCATCTCTGATTCTTATCAATGCAAACAATAAAATCAGATGGAAGGAAGACAAGTCAAAAAAGGGTAGACTAAGGAAGAAAAAATCTAAACCCCAAATTAAACGCTAGTATGGAGAAGTATATAAGGCACTTTACACCAGCTTATGTGGGCAATTCTGGCCATAGGCTTCCTAATAGCCAGCCTCAAGAGAGAAACATGTCAGTTATGTGACATATTCTGAAGATTAAAAAAATATATAAATTTCCAGGAAGAGCACAACTATTTCTGTACTCTAAGTACTGAGAGAAATTCCCCTTGTGGGTCCTTATAATGAAAGCATGATAGGATAATCAGTATTCTCAACTACAGCCTTATAAAAAAATATATCCGGCTTCAGAGAATGGTGTCTTATAGCATACATAGCTCAACAGACAGGACTGGTATGCCAAAACCTATGCAGCATGGCATTGCCTTGCTCTTCAAAGCGTGATCCCTGGACCAGCAGCATCACCTGGGAACTTGTGAGAAATGCAGAATCTCAGGCCCAATGCCAGGCCTGCTGAATCAGTCCATATTCTATTGACAAGATCTGCAGGTGATTCCCGTGAACGTTAAGTTTAACAAGCACCAGTCTAAAGGTTAAGCTTGATCTGAGGCAAAATTTCCAAGAAAGTCGTATTCATTTATTCCGGCAACACATATTTACTGAGACCCTGGTGACAGGAAAGAGGTCCTACCAATAGGGCATATTCCTACCAGTATGACACCAAAAGCACCACCATAAAGGAAAATATTGATAAATGGGTTACCATTCAAAATGAGTGGCAAAGCAAGCCATAAACAATATTTGCAATAATCCCAAAAGAAAAGGTGAGAACCTGAATATGTCCCAGGTACCATCTTAATGATGGGCATATAGCAATAAAATAAAAACTCTCTACACATATAGAGCTTACCTTCTAATTGGAAAAGACATAAACAAGTAAAATGGAACAAGTAAAGGGCATCAAGTCAGGGGACAAGGTTGCAGTTTCATAGAGGGTGAACAGGGAAGGCTTCACTGAAGAGGTAGCGACCTATACAAGGTCAAAGAGCTAGCTATAAAAATAGCTAGGGGAAGAGTACTCCAAGCAAAGGGAACAGCGAGTACAAATACCCCGAGACAATAAATGCCTAAAACAGCAAGAAGGCCAGTGTGGTTGAAGCAGAGTGAGCAAAAGTGGAATAGGTATGCAGGGGGGGCCAAATCATGTGGGGCCTTCTCGGCCATATTAAGGCTCTGAGCTCTGAGAAAGATGAGAAATCACTGAAGGAAAGGTAATAGGGCGCCTCTGCAGGATGCTGAGTGGGGAAATGGCATAATGAAGTGCTTTTAAGATTGGTTTCTAAGAGATAAGTGTAATGGCTTGAGAGAATCCAGCTGAGTATATTGCACTAATCCCAGTAAATGGGAATTCATTCATTCATTGATTTATTAGGTGCCAAAGCTGTGCCAAGTAGTGTGGGGAGGATCTAGAGTAGGGTGATAACTGAGGGAATTGCCAGAGGAAAGTGAACATAAATGACATTGGAAGGAAAGAAACCCAGGACACAATAACAGATTATATTTATAGAGAAATGACAGAAGTTGGCAACTCAATTTAATCAACATTTATGGATCATCTACTAAGGGCAAAGCCATATGCTGGCTAGGATGCAGGAGTGGGGATGGCGCAGAAGACTTATTTTCCCCTCATAAGGGCTTCCAGCCAGGCGTGCTTAGCCCCTGCCCTGCACTTTTCAAGCCTGAATTTCTCAGATTACTGCAGCTGAGGCTGGCACTGAGACTGGCTTATTTGCTCAGGTTAAGAGCTGTTTTTTTGGGGGGGGGGTTTAACCCTCAGAACTTGTTCTGTCTCCTGGGAGTAGGGGCCAAAGCACCTCAAATTGATTAGTATTAAAAGACAGATTTGGTTTGGCAGGAGGGCGGCAGAGAGGTCTTTTTTTTTTTTTTTTTTGGCAGAGAGGTCTTAATAAATGTCTTTTTGGATCAGTGTTGCAGACTGGCCCTGGGCCACCAGTTTTGGGGCAACGAGTCCTTGAGGTCTGTTTCCACCTGTATGACCTGATGGGTCTCCCACTCTTTGCCACTCCATTCTGTAGAGAAGGCCCCAAGGCACAAAAAGGGAAAGCAGGGGGAAAAAAAAAACCCGAATTTGAAAATTGCCTACCACCAGACAGCAAGGTCTGAGGAGCAGATGCAAATGTATGCAAATGATATGTAAATAGCCCCGTGGCCTTCTAAAAGGTTTTATACAACTGGAAGGGCCCTTGGGGAACTGCTAGCAGATAACAGTGACTCAGAAGCAGAGTGAACTATTTCAAGACAACTTTGTCACACAGATCTTTGCTGCTGTTCTAGCATAGTGCACAGTCTTTAGTGATGTTTTTCTCACTTGGATCAACCTCACCTTCTATAAATAAAAAAAAATCAAGTCTGCCTCTGTTATTTTAGAAGTTATCTAAGTTAATTACACTTTAAAAATACTGTGTACCTTTAATTTTTCTTCAAACGCCTCTTTCACCCAAATAAAGTCATGTTCAATGTGTCACTTCCTCCCTAGAACAATATTTGGCTCCACTGGGTTATGAATGAAAATGCCTCGCTTTCAGTTCTAGTTACTAAGATCCTTTGGAGGATTTTTTTTCCCCCTACTCCACAGGAACTGGCACATTCTCTTCTAATAGTCACATGCTGTATTCAAAGTGAATCCAGAAAAAAAAAAAAAAAAAAAAAACAAGCAAACCCATATGTAGTTGTGAAATCCAATTCACTTCAAGGAGCCACTGGAAAGCTATTCATTAAGAAAACCTGCCCTATTCAGAACGCTGTCGTCTAGACAATCCTATCTACGCGTTTTAGAATGAAAAATGCACATTCGATTCCAATGGGGTAAACTTCCGTCTACATTTATGCATTTAAAAGAGGACACCCCCATCAGATAGGCATTTTAAAAGAGCCCTGAGATGAACTGAATAGTAAGCAACCACAGTCAGCACATCAGACCCGCAGCTGGGCAGTAATTCTGGATTACAGACCGAGGCGCGCGCGCCCGCGCGGGGATGGGGGGCAGTCGCCAAAGCCATTTACCTCCACGTTAGCGATGGAAACAATGATAGTCTAACCAGCCCCCCAAACTTCCAATACTCTTTTAACATTCGAGGGTGCTTCAGCTTTTTGACAGGAAGGTCAAAGGAAGGGAAATCCCTTTCATTTTCGAGGAGTTTTTTTTTTTTTCTCCCTCACTTGAAAGGGCCTCCAGGAAGCTGTTGGGCAAAGAGGCATCTGGGGAGATGCCACGTTCGGTGTAAAACAAAAACAAAGCGCAAAGACGCGGAATCCCAACAAATGAGAGACTGAAAAAGAGAGGAGGGAAGACGGACAAAAACAAGAGGTGAACCTCTGGAGACTGAGGAAACGACAGCGCCAGACAGAGTAACAAAGAGAAAGAGAAGAGTCGGGGGCGCTGCTCCCGCAGCCGGGAGTCCGGGGAAGGGCCGGGCAGGCGGCGAGCGCCCCCCCGCGGCCGGGGCTGCCTCTTACCTCCTGGGCGAGTTTCTGCTTGAGCACCAGCGCGGCGCACAGGTAGCCCGCGCGGCCCACGAACAGCTCGTCCGAGCCGCACTCTAGGAAGGAGACCGGCGCGCAGACGGCGCACAGAGCCCGGAACTTGCCGAGCGGCTGCACGTAGTCGGACCGGCCCAGGGCGTGGTACACGAGCGTGGCCACGGCGTACACGCCCGCTCCCCCGAGCAAGAAGGCAGCGCGGGTGTCGGCGTCCGGCTCGCCCCACTCCTCGGCGCGGGCGCACGCGTCTATGAGGCGCTTGGCCGAGCGCAGGTAGCGCTCCCGGGCCCCGGCAAAGAGCGGGCTCTGCGAGACGTGGTAGAGCATGTAGGCCACCCCGGCCACGCCGCCGTACAGCCCGCCTTGGCAGCTGCTGGCCGCGGCCGCCGCCCCCCGGGCCTCGGCGCCGCCCCCGAGCGGGGGCAGCTCCTGAAGGATGCGCTCGATGGTGGCGGTGACCAAGGGCGCCACCGCCTCCTCGCACTGGCCCGCCAGCAGACTGCCCTGGTAGTCATCGAAGCGGTTGGCGAAGCAGCGCTTGGTGTCCATGCTGCTGCCCGTGCCCCCCAGTGCTGGGCCGGGGTCCGCTGGAGGGCGCGCCCTGCAGCGCCGCGCACCACCTCTCGCTCTCGGAGGCGCTCGGCTGGCGGTTGATGCGGCGGGGATGGAGCAGGGAGGCTGAGACGGGAGGTGACTAGAGGAGGCGGGCGCGAGGAAGAAGCAGGGAGCGGATTGCCAAGTGGGGCACCGGGCTGCCGCGAAGCTCGCGAGTGGCCCGGGCCGGCGCGGGGGATGCGCGTCGTACGCCCCCCTCCGAGAGGCCGCGCCCTCACCGAACCCGCCCCCTCCTGCGCCGCCGCAGCTCGGCCGCCTCTCCAAGGGGCCGAGGTGATCTCCGGCAGGACCCACTCGGGGCCCGCGCCACTCCTCCCGCTCCGCCCCCGGCTCCTCCCTTCCCGGCGGAAGGCCGGGGACGTGCGGGACACCGATCCGGAAAGCTGAGGCTGGGCACACACACACCTGGCGCTGGAGGTGAAGACCTCGAGTCCCTAGTACACTCAAAGTGTGGTCCTCGAGTCGGCAGATCAGCATCACCTGGGAGCGTGTTAAAAACGCAGCAGCTCAGACTTCGCCCCAAACCTATCGAATCAAATCAGCATATTTAACAAGATCCCCAGGTGATTCACGTGCACATTAAAGGTTGAGAAGCCACTGAACTGGGGGTGGGAGGTGGGAAACTAGGAAAAAACGGAGCGCCCTCCTGAAACTTGTTTTGTCATCTTGGTCACTTTGGAATTCTCATTCTGAATATTTCAGTCCCAAAGGCTGAGGGCTTTGAGTACATCACGTGTCAAGCATGGAATCGGTGGAAGGCCCCATAGGGAAATTTTCTTGGCCTTGGTTGTCGTGTTGCTTTTCTTGGAGTACACAGGAGTAAAAATTCAAAGAACTACATACACCAGGTTAAGGTAAGAGGGTGGGGGGTTCTGTCTTTCTCCTACTCTAGAGACCCCTCCCTCCCATGCATGCATAGTAAGAGCCTAGTAAATATGGTGACGTCATTTACTAGTTAATATAAGGGCAAATGCTGCGTGAGAATTTTCGGCATTTTTACCCTTTTCTGCGGTTCCTTAGTTAACCTCTTTCCTCCCTTCCTTCCTCCTCCTGTTTCTTCCCTTCTGCTTTCCTTCTGCAGGCGTTATTGAGGGTCTCCTATGTGTCCTGGACTCTGGAAATAGATGGATAAACAAAGTAGACACGGTCCTAGACCTCTTGGAGCGTGCAGTCCACTGGGAAAGACAGAAAATGAACAATTACACAAACAAGTTGCCTTTCTTTCATTCAGCTGTTTTAAAATAATTCTTCCATTCCCAAAGTGTTGACAAGTGAAGGCCAAAGAGGTCACCTCTCCCAGGGGTATTTGCATTTTGATAGGGACTGTGCGAGACACAAAAGAATAAGTGGCTCTTGGAAAAGTTTCTGACACTTGGTGGGGAGAACAAATGCTCCACATACTTGAAGGGCCAGTTTTGTTTGGAGGCAGTTTTTTCCTCAAAAGTGGTAATTGTCACAATGATTTGGAAGCAGAGATTAAATAGCCTGCCCCTCTGTCGATGCATTCTGGAAAAGGAGCTCTGTTTGCCAGGATTACTGCCAGGACTAACACATCCACAGAGTAGATGCTGTGGCCTCCATCCTCCTATAACACTGCCAAAACAGGTTTATTTTGAATTATAAAAAAGCTAAGTTCACTTTTAGGCAGGGAGCTTGATGGGTTAAGGGTATCAAAGAAGCAACTGGAATAGTTCGCTTCTCCTTGGGCCTTTTTCCTCATGCCTCAATCGTGGTAAACATTAGGAGTGACTTTTGTCCCTTCCAACAAGGAGACCTAAAATGCAAACTTTCACAGGCAGGAATGAAGCTTTATTCCACTTCGTTGCTCCACACCTCCCCCTTGTCATGAATCTAGAGGCAACTCTGTTAATTTTGACTTCGATTATCCTTTCACAAATCCCAGCACGAGGGTAGCACCAGCAGCAATGACAGGGCCTTGTGCTCACAGACTTCAAAAACAAAAAAACCAGTGAGCAGGTCTCAAGAGAAGGCGCTCTGCCCTTTCCCAGTTGTGTCACCCCCTCTGTTGCCCCAAAATGCTGCATAGCAAGCAACCACAAAATTTTGTAGCCTGTAACAATAAGTTTACTGCTCATGCATCTGGGATCTTGGCTGGGCTCATTCATGTGTCTGGGGGTGGGCTGGCTGTTGCTTGGGGAGATTGGTGCAACTGGGCTCTAGTTCACATGTCTCTCCTCCTCCAGCCAATCCCAGCATGCCCGCATGGCAGTGGCAGAGAGGTAAGAGCCCAGGTGAAAACGTGCAAGACTTCTTTAGGTCTGGTCTTAAAGCTGACACATTTTTACCTGCCTTAATGTATTGGTAAATCACATGAAAAATGCAGGGTGTCTTTATGGAACTGTAAAGTATATGACAAAGGGTGTGTATACAGGGTGGGGTGAATTATTGGGGCTTCTAGGGGTTTTGGACAGTGAAACAGCATGATTTGGGAGAAGCAAGAAGTTAGCGGTATCCAGAAGCCCTCTTAAACTCATAGGACAAATTAACCCTTTTCCCTATAAATGTCTTTCCCGAAGACCCTACCACTTGGTCTGTTGCACAATCACCTGGCAAAACTTCAGTCCAGAGCATCCTTCAGGGTGGAGCTAGCTCTTTAGACCACATGAGGCCTTGCCTCCCATTGCCATTTACTTAATTCACAAGCAGTATTGCTTATTTTAATATCATGACTCCACCAGAATACATTCTCCATGAGGGTAGGGCTTTTTGTTACATTTATTTACTGGTAGGCACCAAGAGCCTAGAATAGTCCCTGGCACATGTATTGGGCATTCAATAAAGGTTTGTGAAATGATGAATGACTTACTATGAGAGCATCACAGCAAGGGAACCTGGAGTGTAGAATGCAGAATAAAGAATGCAGGGTAAACTGTTGAAAGTTTACCCTGACTTGATGAAACCCTCACTGTTTTCTTGGATCCTTTTGCTCTTATGAATGCAAGAATGTAAACATTCTGCAGTTTCCGCTTCCTTTCTTTGTCTCCACAGGCTGGTGACCTATACACTTTACAGTGACGTCACACAATCTGTTTTTACTAACTAACCAGGTGTAGGAGATTTCTTTTTCCAAATACGGCCCTAATGACATCTCCTATGCCACGTGTTCCTCTACAATCGGACACTGACATTCCTCTCATCAGATGGTAGGGTATGTGTCCCCTCTTCTTGAATCCGAGTGCACTTATAACTAACATAACCAGTAGAATGTGAGTGAAATTATACTGCATGGCATCCAAATATTTAAAAAAAAAAATGGTGCAGCTTCCATGTTACATGCTGGACCACTCCTAGTTGGAGCCTTGAACCACCTTGTAAGAATCTGACTATGCTGAGGCGGCCATATTGTGAGGAAGTGCAGACAACATGAAGAGGCCACTTACAGGTGCTTGTGTTGACAGCCCAGCTGACAGCATCAGCTGACAGCCATTTGAATGAGCCACCTCGGATATACAGTCCAACTGAGCCCTCAGATGACAGAAGTTCTATGAGAACCACCATCCCAATCCCTTCCAGAATTCCTGACCCACAAAATTATGAGCAAAAGAAAGTAGTTGTTTTAAGCTACTAAGTTTTAGGGTAATTTGTTGTGCAGCAAAGGTAAGTAGAATAGCTTGCTAGCTTCCCATCATCCAATGCCATAAAGTCCCCTATAATCTGTACTGCCCCCTCAACAGGGCAAAAAATAGGAAGAGGAATATTTTGGGGAACTCTGCACAGGGAGACAGGAAGTATGGAGGCACACAGAAAATTGTGTTCCAAAATAATAATTCTAGATGGATTCTTTAGAAGTAGCAATGACCCCACAAAGAAATTTGCAGCCTATACAAAATCTTGCCAAAGGCAGTTATTTTGCCCTTATCTGCAAGATTTGTCCTGATCTTTACAGAATCTCTAGCAGCATTTGCTGACAAGCAGCTCCCAACACATGGTTTCTGTGATCTTGCTGAATTGCCCAGTTCCTAGTTCTTCCTCAGGATTTCCTTATTATGCAGATTATGCAAAACTATGGATGGAAAATAGTTTTAGTGGGTTCCTCAAGGAAGCCACATAAAAATTATGCAAAACTATCCAGGAAGAAAATATTAAAGGGTTTCTCTGATGCAAATCATTGCTCTCTCAGGGTGAATATGGGGGAAAAAAAAAAAACTCAGTAATTTTATAACTGTCAAACCTCAACACTTAAGGGTTAGTACATTTTATGGGATAAACGATCTTAAAAATACTTTCAGAAAGTTTTCTGAAGTTTTGCTCCAAGGGCTCATCCTAGAAATGGTTTAGTTGACTCAATCAGAGCTATGTCTAGTCCTTATAGTACATTCTCTTTGGAAATGCTGCTCTGGTTTTTTTAGCTTAGTTACCTAAACTTTGGAGACCTCTCCTGCTTCTGCTCTTTTGTCCCCTGAAGACCCTTCTCAAAATAGCAGCCTGAAGAAGTCAGATCCTATCTTCTGATTTATGTCAGTGTTGCACCTGTCCCTCAAGGTAAAATCCAGAGCCCATAGGACAGCCCAAAAGGCCCACTGCCATCTCGCCCTTCTTACTTCTCTAACCCCCCTCTTATTCTTTTTCCCCTTGTTCCTTCAATTCCAGCCACACTGGCTGCCTTGATACTCCTCAGACATGCTAGTCAGAGCCTTAACTTGGAAAATAATCTTTGGGGGCACCTGAGTGGTCACTGGTTAAGCAACTGCCTTCGGTTCAGTCCCAGGATCGAGTCCTGCGTCTGGGCTCCCTGCTCAGCAGGGAGTCTGCTTCTCCCTCTGACCCTCCCTCCTCTCATGCTCTCTCCCTCTCTTTCTCTCACTCATTCTGTCTCTCTTTTCTTTGCAGTTTTCTCTTCCTGGAATACTCTTCAAAAGATATACTTGCCCCTTCACCTCTCAATGAAGTCTTCCATAACTTATCATTTAAATTATAACCTTCCCCTGCCAACCATTAGTATCTACTCACTATATATTTTTACTGATTTATGTTGTTTCTTGTCTCCTTTTCCTAGGATGTAATCCCCACGAGGACAGACATTTTTGTC